ACTGAGACTGCAAGATATTACTCATGTGTAAGCAAAGCTGGCCCAGCAGGCTTCTGCATCCAAAATGTCATAGCTGCCAGGTATGATTTTGAACAACTGTCTGTTAAAGGATTGCCCATCATGAGATATTTTTCTCTGACAAATTTCTAATAATTCTTACATGTTTATTTGCCTGTCCACATTTGCTCTTTGTAATGGAAGATAATTTTTGACTGTTCATTCTCCCCACTCTCCTCCTAAGGGAAAAAGAAAATACTTAAAATGGAACGTGACAGTACCTAGCTGGAGCAACTTATGGAACTGTAGTCATCTTTTCAGTCTTGATTATAATGGTGGTTCTGGCAAACATATGAAAAAAACCCATAGATGGCTTTTCTGGGATACTCGTGAAACTGAGAACTGGAGATAATCAAAAGGATAAAATTAACTGTAAAGAAAGCCCAACTCTTCCTTGACCAATAGTCTTGGTAGCCACAGTGCACTACTACACACTTTAAAAGGGCTGTTATTATTGTCAGCTTTTAAGTGTATTGATATCCAACAGCAGAAAGAACAATGCACTAAGCAGCGGCATTTCCAAAGGCCATGAAAAATCCCACCTTTGTTTTAACACTGGACACTAATTAAATATTTCAGTCAAGCAAGATTAAGCAACTGTATTTTACTAGCTAAATCAAGACAACTGATGCTTGTTTAGGACACAGGCTTGTTTCATAACTTGAAAAGTTTGAGAGTCCTGTCCATCTGTTGTTCAGATGGATATGGATATTTTTCAGTCCTTATGTTCTTCCTCCCCTTCCCAGTTTGCCCATATTGACCAAGTGCAAGACAAAAGCCTTTGGGGCTGTCCTGTAGTTGGGAACCATCCAAAGTTCTAAACCTCCTGCTGTAGTGAGGATTAGATCAGATAACTCCACATAATGGACACTGTCCTAGAGTGGGGTCTGATATGCAAGTCTCTCATTGAGCTTCTCGCAACTTGAGAGGTCCAAACGCTGATGCCTGGCTAAACTGGGAAAGCCGCTGCCTCTGCTGGAGGTTGCAGCCTTCTTGGAAACCATTCCTGGGTATTCTGTTTTGCTTTAGTTCTTGTTTGGGTTGGACTACAAGGGTTTCAACCTTCAAGCAAGCAACATTTGCTCTGCTTGCACCTGACTAGGAGCGGCAGCACCTTTAGTGACTGAGCACACGTGAAGAGCAGACATTGCTGCCATCAGCTGCTTGGCCTCATCCTGTTCACCAGATGCTGAGCCAGCAGCCGAAGGCCACCTCCTCCCCCTGCCCCAGTGGTAATGCTACTGCACACAAATCCCACGTGGGGCTTGGGAGTGCTCGACCTGACCCAGACCTCCTTTAGCTTCTGAAAGTATGTGAAAGGCAAACACTTCTTTGCCAGCCTGCCTTGGCAATGGTGGACTTTTCTGCCACAGTGCAGCACATCCTGAATCATTACTTGAATTCTGCTCTCACACAGCTGATTAGCTATTACATGTATATGTGCAATGGCACTGAAGATCCAGACTAAAAATGAATGCAAATGACAGAACAAAGTAGCACCTCCTTACTGCAGACTATTGCAGTAAGATGCACTTCTAAGTATCTTAATAAGTTCCTATTGTTCCTTAGTGACACTAACCTTTACATACAACCCCATTCATCCCCCAATTTAATTCCTAAAGCATAATTGTCATCAAGAAAGCAAAAGCAAAAAAAAAACCAAAAAAACCCCCTAACATTTCAAGACTATACAAAACCATACAGTACCTTCTATGGTTCATTTCTCTGGTTTATAAGAAAATCAAAGAGCTAAAACCTGCCTGCATTGGGAATCTTTGTACACTATTGCTGCAAGAATGAAAACTGCAATCTATTTTATTTTGCTGTACAATAAAGAAATCTTACATTTCCAGAATCCTTATTGCTTTCAGTGATGAGTGAAGCATAAAGATAGCAGCTGGATATTCAAATGTTGCACCAGGTTGGCAGTTATTAAAATTTATTTTTCATTTATAAACTAAGAGCATTCTATGTGGAAGTAATTAGAAAACTAAACATGGCATAATGTTAATGAAAATTCCAATTTTATAATTCTTATTATGTAATTCCAAAAAACCTGAGATGCCCCTTTCAAGTGAATAAGAGTCAAACTTGCACTTGAAAGAAATAATCTTCTTGCTTAAAATTGCAATCTAAACTCAGTCTAAAAGGTTTAGAAATGAGGAAAAAACCCATTAAGATACCTGATAACACTCCAATTTTCCATCTCTAGTTCTGCTGGTGCTAAAAAAATAGCAATGTGTTCACATCACTTTCACTATTGATGCAGAACTTTATTTTTTCAGAGAAGAACACTGGAGAATTGCATTTAAGTGGATTTGATAGAAGTGGGTTGAACAAGATCAGATATGTACACACATAAAACTAGATGCCTTTTTTTCTTTTTCTAAATGAGGTCTTAGGTTTGCTTTTCTCCTCCCAAACATTTACTTTAAATTCAATTACATTGGTTGATACTAGAACCAAAGGCAGATTTGTACAGTGTTAGATAATGATGACACTGGCTTTGGTGTGCAAAGCTAACTGAATACTAAAGCTAACTGAACGCTAAGTACACATACAGAATATAAAAATAGTTGCATGAAATACAGCAATACCACTCCTGTACTTAATATTTCCATTCTCCCAGCTTTTAAAGGTTTTGTGCTCTGTTCCTCATCAAACTTTGTATCATGAACAAGACTCACAACCTTTGCCTCTGCAAGTTTATCAATAGTCTCTTCTTAGCCAAACAATATGTGTAAAACATGCATTTGGCTGGAGTCATATGAAGAGTAGAGTTAATATTTTGTTTAGGAACACAGGTCTATTATTTGCTGCTAGTCATCACTTCCAGCGGGTGGTAAAATTTTAATGAAGACAATACAGATATATAGGTTCTGAATGCACATTAGCTATGTAAGGACAAACTCTTTGGTTTCCTGGGACTCAACTACATCTGCAAACGTGCATGAAAATCTACAGACTCTTTTGGCCCTTTTCCACCAGGAGATTTATTGAATTTTTTCCATGTGATAGCTAACACCAATTACTAACAGACACCATAATGGGAAGAACTGTATAACTATATTATTCTTATTTGAGGCAAAGTTTGCAAGCAGAAGCTGCATCTTTCATTAGAAAAATACATTTGGAAAAACCGGACAACCAAATAATCCTCATTAAGCACTGTCAGATACACAAGACCTTCCTCAGTTCAACTATCAGTTGTTCAAATGAAAGATAAACTCATAAAAAATCTTTTCTTGCTTATATCCTTGGAGCAAACTTCTTTAGTTCTTGTTATCAAATTTATTTTATAAAACGCTATTGCTCAGTACTATCAGATCCTGTCTCTGTCAAGTGCCAAGCTTCGTGATAGCCTTACTGGGTCATGGCAGCCATGTTTCCTGGGCTATACTCTCTGGTCAGAGTATCACACAGAAGAGTCTCAGATATATCAACTAAGTGGGTTGGTTTTGGTTCTTTTTTTTAACCACAAAAGATTTTTGGAACCCTAGTAGCTTTACAGTTTGCAGTTGTGCATGGGGCAGGTAGCTCCACTGCTTTTTTGCAAGTGGCATCATTTGCAAGCAGTCAGTAGCATAACTGGGTAGCTCTGTAATATGGCATTGTCTTGCTAGCTTTGAACAGTTTGCAAAGCCATTGAGGCTCATCAGGCTCACTCTGTCTGAACTTTTCTTGACCCGGCTGCAGCTTTGTCTTACTAGGTTTAGCTGTAACAGCAATAATTTTATATAGAAAATACTAACACAAGCAGTTATTCTTTGTAGAATGCAATAGTTACGACTAACACAATGGGGTAGCAAAAAGCAACACAGGGCTGGTATGAAAACAGAGCCCTTGAGAAGTGGAGACACAGGAGGTGGTGTAGAGGAGCGCAGGCATGGGGCAATAATGCAAGGGGCACAGGCGGGCACCGGAGGCCTCATGGTGATAAACAACTTGCCAATGGTCAGGTAAAGAAATGCAGACCTGGAGCTGGACAAAAATGGTTTTAGGAGCAATGAAGACAGCAAAGACACAGTATCTACCATATAGATGTAAAAGCTACCGTGTATAGTAGACTCAGGTGTAACATCAAGATGCAGATGAATGAAGAAAGAGTAAAGTGTAAAAGTGTGTTTTCAAGCATACAAAAAGGATCTGAAGTGGACCCTCGAGTGAGAAAGAAGAAATCATGAACATGACCATCATATACCTCTTGCTAAAGGACTCTTCATAACACCCGCTCTGCTCCCCACCGAGATGAAATCACTGAGCTTAGGAGCCAGGGGTGTAGGGGAAGGTTGAGCATAACACCAGGAAAAGGGGTAGAAACAATTTGAATTGTATTAGCATTCTTTCTTTTTATGTAATAATTATAGAATCATAGAATGTTGCCAGAAATGAGACAAACTGACCACTCATTAAAATCTCTTCACTGCTGGACTGAGTAGCTGGTTAACTACCATAACCAAAGATGCTTTAGAGGCCATACTCTCAGCAAAAAAATGCTCCTCACAGTTTAAGGCTGTTTCAATCCTGTCTAACCTGCCCCACTGCCTTTGTGCTGGGCGACACCCCACAGCATTTCAGCCCTGGGTTAGCCCAACATTTACAGCATGTCCCTCTCTTTCGTTGGAGAAGCCATCTGCCGAGGTGACTCCAGGCTCCGCTCAAAGCTCAAAGACCTGTGGTTTGTTTGTTTTAGCTTTATGAGCTCCGTGTACACATTTCACTAGGATCTAGGTCAGAAAATGGTGCTTGAAGAAGAAACCACAAGTGAAGGGCCAAAACAATTTTAGAATTACTTTTTAGTCACAACCCACAACCTGCAACATGAGAGTTTGACTGCTGAGGTGCCTTCCAGTGGTGACTCTGGGGCTGTTTCAAGAGCACACACAATATTCAGATGGCTCAAAATGTCAATTTTAATATATTTTGAGGGACTGGCATCCTTTGTATTCACATGGTAACCGCTGCTTATGGGATTGCTGCCTAGCTTTTAAACCCAAACCCTCTATGACTGCCAGGAGACAGTTTTCATTAGACAGCCCATGTCTCTAGCCTTGACTTCTGCTGAGCTTCTGCCAGAAACAGAAGCATTTAGCAGCTTCTGGTGCTCACTGCAAGACTTTTTCATCAGATAAACTTTGAGTGATTAAATCTCACCACAGCAGACACAGGCTGCATTTACTGTGTAGCTGTATTTATTGCGAAGCACTTTGCTGTGATACTGGGTTCTGCTAATTAGTCCTTAAATAAATAACCCATCTGGCTGCGGACAAGATTCTAGAGCTGTCAGGACAAGCCAAAGAAACCCATTAATTATAGAAGACCTGAATTCTCCCTCCATGGATTTTCAAGAGAAGAAAGAAGAGCAAGAGGATCAGAGGTCAGGCTTTGCCAGGCAGAAGTCACAGGGACACTACTGGGCCTAGTTGCACAGTACAGTGGAATACAGGACCAAAGTGTTCTAAGCTTTCATTTAAAGAAAGAAAAAAGACCATAAATCTACTAATTTTGAGATCATTTGTTTGGATCTTTTGCGCAACAGAGGCCAGACTGGTTTAGCCACTTGTGCACTGTGGTCAACATGAAGAGTCCTCTCACTTCTTCACTCTAGCCCTTTTTGTATGCCAAACTGAGCTGTTAATAAGCTCAATAGTGTAGGACTGCCCTTTAAAGCATGCTTTGGGCATTGCACCTAAGTGAATGTTCTCAGCTGGGGTTAAGACAGAGTATCAGTAGTTACATCTGAACTACAGTGGTCCTCTCACAAGACCCGGGTATTCACTGGATGAATCTGTGAGATGGAGAATTTTCCTTTGGCAAAATATGTCAATGTTTAATTAGATTTGCCTATAAAAAACTGTACTTATTACCAATTAAGAGTATTTCTAGAAGAACTTGTGAAATGTTCACAGGAAATAGATGACTTCCTTTCCATTTCACCTGAGTTTGTCTATTTTGTGATTTAACTTTTTATCTCCACTCAAACCAAACAGTTAGACAAAATGAGCTTCTCACAGCTGGTAACCAAATAGATTTGTGAAAAAGTCAAAAATATTCCACCTTCATCAGTTGATTCAGAAGCCTCCAAAAGTCATGACACAGGTCATTGTCTCATGACCACATTGACACGGCATAAGGACTGCAGTCCTTAGTTGAACAACACCACCACTCCATAACACACCCTGAAAATGGTTCTTCAAGCATATCTTCATGACAGAAAATCCACTGCATTATGGATTAACTTAATTAACTAGGATGTTGAAAAACTATTGCAAGATTTCATTTTTTATTAGAAACACCTGACTCACTGATTTTCAGCCTTGACTTCCACCTCCTGGATTCTATCATGCAGAAAAAAAAAAAAAAAAAAAAAAAAAAAAAAAAAGGAAAATAAGGAAAAACAAAAAAAAAAGATTACGCTATACAGATAGCTCATATTTTTGATACACTTTGCCTCCTCCCCTTTGATTTTAATTTCCCTAATGCTTGTTGAAATAATATCAATAACAAAAAGCTGTCTGTAAAACCAAGGTAAAGTAACTTGAGTTCCCTCCTGAACTGACAGAAAACTCTCCAAATACCACATTTCTTTTAACAGGTCTGTGTAGTCACCTGGGGGCCCAGACCCACTTTATTTGAGACCAGTGGCAATGCTCTCATTGACTTCACTAGGTTCAGCTGTGGACTGAAGTGGTTGCAAGCCAGAGGTCTGGGGCTCTGGGGCTCTATCCAGACGCAGCTCAAGCCACCCCACAGCACGGGCACAGTGGAATGTGCCTCACACAGACACAAGGAGTCACTGACCTGGTGGCCTCTGATCTCCGGCAGAAACAGTGGGACATGGCAGTTTTGCCACCCCTGCAAAAATGCACTCACAAAACACCCACTGACATCAGATGCCAGGGGTGTTTTAAGGCATAACACAGACTCCTCATGTAGAAAAACAAGTTTGGGTTTTTTTTTTTTTAATCACTTAAAGTGGTGTTATTTTTTTACAGCTCTGGGCTGCCTAGATGACTAACTCTTCACAACTAAACTAAAACTACATCATAACGTTGCAGCAGCTTCTGAAATTTTAAAAGGCAAAGTTGGAGGAAATGCTAAATCTAAAACCCAAACCCCAGTCCCATAAGGAGATGGTGAGAGGTGATGAAAAAGCAAGCCTGTTGCAGATGAATGTTGATTTGAATTGGAGGTGAAAATGCAGCAGCTTTTGAATATGAAGTGATAAAAGGGCTCTCCAGCATATATATGTAAATGTAGGCATATGCTATACCTTGTTCATGCTGACGTGCAGAGCTGGCCATGGTCCAACTACCTTCACACTCTCCGTTTCTATTTTCTTCAGATGAGAAGTTTCATCATAAAGAAGGGGAAGTCCTGAGCTCAGTTCTAAAAAGATGCCCAAAAGAAAGAAAGAAAAAAACACAATCTGAAGGGAGGCTACAGAAGAACCACAGAGCAAGACACTCAGCTGCATTTGAGGAGACAGTGGTCAGCAAACCATCTTCCCTCTAAGACCATCTAAAATGTTTCATAATTATGCACGTCAGGTTATTTTTCCTTTTTCTATTTAGCAAACAATTCCTGCCCATCCTCCTTCTTGCCCATCTCTTAATTTCAGCAGGGCTTTTGCCAGCTTTGGGCTAGATACTTCTCTGCTTACCTCCTCCCCCTCTATCTCCCCTATATTCTAAAATTCAGTTGATTATTTATGCAGCCACTGAGGTGCCACTCTCAGAACATGTGATGTGTAAAGAGATCAGAGTATAGCTTTTGGCTTCTCTCAGACATCTTTATTTATATGCCAGCCTCCTTAAGACTGTTGTCAGGAATTTGCTGTGCTTTGTCAATAAGAGATTTTGAGCAAACCACTGACACAGAAAGACAAGGAAAAATATTTTTTGAGACAGCCCTGAAAGGCCAATCTCTTGGGGATGGTGTGGCATATACAGGTATATTTGCAAGTAATCTGAGAAAAAATAGCTTCATCATGTGATGATTTAAAAAATCCCTGCACCCTTCTGTATTTCTTTTTGCTATAGATTCTAGGTAATAACAGTTGGGAACAATCCGGTAATCTCTGGAGCCTGATTCAAAACCCACTGAAATCAATAAAAATCTTGCACTGACTGCAGTTTTGTTGGATCAGGTTCTTAAGCTTTCCTAAGAATATTAAATATTACTCCCTCAAGATTTAATTCTACAGCCGTTTAAATATACATTAAGGGCTTTGCTGAGTAGAGACAAACTGCTAAAACCCACTATAGGGATATAAACAAAAAGCTACTTTTTGGCATTGGTGAAACATTATCAGACCCTGAGGTAAGAATGTCCGAGAAGGGGTTACAATGTCAGCATTGACCTCCCCTTGGTGGTCTCTCATCACAAGTTAGTGATGCCAGCATCCGGCATCCCTCGCATCACAGCTACTTCCATGCATACGAGACTGTGACACTGCTCAATGATACCCAGGAATAAATTACCACAGCCATAAGATAAGACATGATGATTTTTTTTTTTTTTTTTTTTTTTGAGGAAACACAGTCATTCTATTTTCGTGTTGAGAAAGAACATAGAGGGGGGGAAAAGTGACTTATCTAAATTATTTAAGTTTGCTATGATTTAAAACTGTCTTTTAAACTGTTTTTTTTTTGTTTAAAAGGGAGAGCTCCAGAAAACAAGATAGCCAGTTTTGCCTTTTAACTCAACCTTGAAAACAGATTTTTAAAAAGGCAAAAAATGTCTACAAAAGTCTTATGTTTCCCGAGTCAGCGTTAAGTCTTGGCAAAACCAGGTTTTCATTTCAAGAAAGAACCTGGCAGCACTGTGGTTTTTCAAAGCACTGTTTTCAGCCTGAAACTCAGCCTGTATTACACCATTCTCTGCTCAGGGTTATATAAGGACTTTTGTAGTGAGCAGTTCAGGAATAAAGGATGTCTTTTTTTAAGTGTTAACCTGCAAGCTTAGCCCAGAGTTCAAGAGGCAAGATGGGCCCCCTCTTCTCATTTGTTATTTTCCATCATAAAAATTCTGTGAGCTAGATTGCATACTTGTTGGCATTTGCTTTTGGTGATAGCTCCAGCTGCTGCAGGTGGATCTGCTCACATACACCTGGTAATCCATGCACGATGTTGCCATGCCAATTAGGCTTAGCGAGCGTCTCACCCTCTCTGTGCAGCAGCGCTGGCGCTGTAAAGCCAACCGTTCTTGAATACAGTGGTCCCTGGGACTGGGATTCTGCGAATACACTGGAGGAGGATCTGCTGCATAAAAAGATACGATCTGTGTACGTTAGCTTTGAGGTGAAGGCAGCATCGCAAATAGAATAATCAGGCTGAACGCAGGAAAACAACATCATCTGCTGAACTGCCTTCATAAACAGACACATCAGATTTGTTTCACTGGATTTCACTTCCAGTAATTGAAGTAGACAAATTACTTGGAATGTGAAAAATCAGGCAGGTTTGGCCTGTGTTTGTTTTCTGTAACAAAATCCTAGGTTGTGTGTTTGCTGAGAAACATGGACCAGTATTTAAAGGAAACCTTGTCTGGGCATACTGTTGTTTTCCTCTCTCCTGCCCATGTCTTGTGAATTGAGCTGTAATTTTGGCTTTTATCAGAACAGGTGTAAGTGGAGGAAAGGCAGATGCTTTCTTCCTCTCTTGACCTGATCCTGGGTACATATCAGTGGGTCACTCCACGTTCCACTTCATATGAATTTAAAACCACCACAGAGCTCAGATATGAGTCCAGTCCACAGGAACTAGAATAGGTCACAAAACACCCTCGGCTCCTAGGAAAATCAAGAGGTAGCCAAACTGAAGTGCTGGTGTGAACAGCTTCACTTCTGTTAGCCTCACAGGGAAGCTTCCACCAGGACAGTGTATTCCCCCCATGAGACCTTTTGACCCTCCAAGGCATTTCCACTTGAGATATTTTGGTCACAAGCACACTCTTCCCCAAGAGTGTCCCCGGGTTACAGACCAATTAGTTCCTAGAAACACTTTGCCAGCAGTGGCCTTCCCACATAGCCTGGAGCCAGATATCAGTCCCCTATGTCCCCAGGCTCCTGATGCAGACCCCTGCTAGGGCCTCCTCTCCGCCTGTTTTTTTTCTTGTCCCACGCACTCTGCTACGTGTGCTGTCCTAGATAACTAACTGACAGCCAGCATGCTCCTAACTGTTTCGGCACATAAACTAGGAACTGCTTCCACAGGCTGTCCACAAGACAGCCTTCTCAGCTGAAACAGCCTGGGCAGCATTTAAAAAGATCCATTAAAAACAAAACAAAAGAAACCAAACCAAATCCACTGAGCACCAACCTCACAAAAGGCATCCAGGCCTGTAACCTCAAACTGCAAATGAGTAACTTTAACCCTGTTTAAGGGAAGTGGTCCTATCCACACCACCACCACTCTAACAGCGCAAACACGCCAGGTCTAACTGCACCCTGGCCTTTCCAGGGAAATCAGCTCTGCACCTCCGGCCGGGTGCATGGGTACGGGTCTCCTCAGGAGAGCTGCGATAGCTGCCTGCAGGGCAGCACGCCTGCATTAAGCGAAGCCGGTGCACGGCATGCACAGCCGCCTGCAGAGCTCAGCTGGACACGGCCGGTGTGCCCGCACCACAGCCTCCCCTTGGAGGTGCCCCTGCCCCTTTCTGCTGCCTTAGAGAAACCGGGAATTGGCTTTTGGCATTGCTGATATTAGGCCACATCAGGAACTAGCACCAATTCCCTTTTCTCTAATCAAATAGCATGAACCACCTGTAAGCAAACAAAAAGAAGAGCAAGGCACATCTATCTCCAGGAATAGGTACTATGTGCACGTCAGCTGTCATAGTCCCCTTCAGAGCATCACAACTGCTGGACAGGCTGGGGAGGCTGCATCCTGTGAGGGGTGTGGGGTTTGAAGGAGAGAGCTCGCCCTCCCCATGCCTGGGGGGATGCAACCTCCTGGGCCCCACATTTCATCGCATAGGTAGCACTCACTGGGTGAAAACAGAACTACTCCTGATGTTTGGTTTTAGGATTTTCTAAGCTTATTCCACCAACAAGCAGGAGTGGGAAAGCAGAGCAGCCTAAGGGGAGACACAGAGCTGTACTGTACATTTTGCTGTTGTTTCTTTAATCACCTTCTGCTCTACCGGTGGGTCTGGCTTGTCAGGGCCCACGGCAGGGCTGTGCGGAGCTGGAGCTCTGCTGCAGCATCGCTGGGGCAGAGGCTGAGGCCCCGGGGGGGTGACATGGGGCCCTGTGCCAGGGGGAGCCCCCAGGAGGGACACAGGGGCAGTGGAACCTGCCATGCCCTCAGGCCTGGGACACTCAGCAGCAGCATCGCTGGCTCCGAGTCCATCTCCTGGCATGCTTCAACTCTAATTTGGGAAAGAAAAATATGGGCTGGCACACCCCCCAGAAAGGTCACCGTCTCCTGCCGCAGCAGGCTGACAGCCCAGGCGAGGGTTTCCAGCCCAGACTCACAGCACCCAGCTGCCGCTCGTGGCAG